GATTTGCTGGTAAAGGGTGTCTAATTTTGAACTTTAGTTTGTCACGTACTGTTTTATGAATTTGGGTAAATTTCCTTAAATCTCTTTGAATCTTGGTAATCTAACCCACAACATAAAAATCAGGACACCTGCACTACAGGGTATTATGGATATCTAGCGAAAAAATACACATGAAGCACTAACTATGGTTAACTGTCATTACCATGATAACTGTTATCAATACGAATAAGAAGCCACATCTGTTTCCTAGCAATTTTACTCACGTCTTTTTGATTTATGTATTTTGAGTGTATGGGCCTTTTACACGCACGTGAGTCTGGGTGCCACATGACTGCCTGGTACCTGTGAAGTCCAGAAGAAGGGTTGGATCTCCACCTGGAACCGGAGTTACTTGTGGTTTTGAGCCACCATGTGAATTATGGGAAATGAAATCAGGACCTCTGCAAGAGCAGCCAATGCTCTTTTTTTGTGTGTGCGTGTTTATTTTTCTTTACTTGTGCAGACTTTTTTTTTATTTTTTTCAACTTTGTTTTTAAAATTTGAATTAGAAACAGGATTGATTTACACGACAATCCCAGTTCCCTTCTCTCACCTGTCCTCCCCTACCACCCCCCAACTAAAACCCTATCTATCACATATCCTTTCTGCTCCCCCTGGATGGTGAGGCCTTCCAAAGGGTGTCATCAGAGTCTATTGTATCCTTTGGGATAGGGCCTAGGCCCACCCCCGTGTGTGTTGGCTCAGGGAGTATTCCTCTATGTGGAATGGGCTCCCAAAGTCCACACCTATGCTAGGGATAAGTACTGAACTTCTACAGGAGGTCCGGTAGATTTCTGAGGTTTCCTCACAGAAACCCATGTTCCTGGGGTCTGGATCAGTCCCATGCTGGTATTCCAGCTATCAGGAGCAAGAGTTCCCTGATGTTCAGTTCAGCTGTTTCTGTGGGTTTCACCAGTCTGGTCCGTAGATGTTTTTTTTTTTTTATTTGAATTAGAAACAAGATTGTTTTACATGTCAATCTCAGTTCCCTCTCTCTCCCCTCCTCCTCTACCACCCCCCCAATAAAACCCTACCTATCACATATCCTTTCTGCTCCCCCTGGAGGGTGAGGCCTTCCATAGGGTGTCATCAGAATCTATCATATTCTTTGGGATAGGGCCTAGGCCCACCCCCGTGTGTCTTGGCTCAGGGAGTATCCCTCTATGTAGATTGGGCTCCCAAAGTCCACACCTATGCTAGGGATAAGTACTGAACTTCTACAGGAGGTCCTGTAGATTTCCGAGGTCTCCTCACTGAAACCCATGTTCCTGGGGTCTGGATCAGTTCCATGCTGGTTTCCCAGCTATCAGTCTGGGGACCAAGAGCTCCCTGTTGTTCAGGTCAGCTGTTTCTGTGGGTTTCACCAGCCTGGTCTGGACCCCTTTCCTCATCACTTTTCCTTCTCTGCAGCTGGATTCCAGTTCAGTTCAGTGATTAGCTGTGGGTGTCTGCTTCTATTTCCACCAGCTGCTGGATGAGGGCTATCAGATGACATATAAGTCAGTTATTAATCTCATTATCAGAGGAGGGCATTTAAGGTAGCCTCTCCTCTTTTGTAGCCAGTGCTCTTAGCTACTGAGCCATCTCTCAACTCCTTCCAGTGTTTTTCTGGAATATCTACAACTTGTAATCTACTGGATTTGGAAATAATAGCAGGGAATACTTTCTGATAGCCCAAAGTTTCTCTCTAATGCAAATGAACTCATAGCTTTTAAGACAAGAAGCTTTAGATCTTGTGAAACTTTTGGGCTTTTTCTTTCTATGTTTCTTTTTTTGCTTAGAACAGCTTCAGTCTCCCTTATGTGGAATATGCTAACATTTAGGTACTTTACAGAGCTTTGGAGATGTTTAAAGGTACAAACTTTTCATCAGCTTTGTTCTAGGACTTGCAAGTATGATTTTGGGAAATATATGGATGGAGGAAAATCTGTGTGCAAACAGTGATCATTACCAGTGTACAAGAAGCCTTGCTAGAAGGAATGTATGTTGGCTTAAAAGGAATGTAGGTTGGCATATTTCACATTTCACAGGCACCACTACTTCAAAAATAGGCGGAATATCTTACCCTGAGAAAGGTGGCTAAGGCATAGCTGAACTGCACTAATGAACATTTGTCTCCAATTCATTTTTCATCACTCTAATAAGATACGTGAGGTGTTTAATCCAAGGATATTTTTGAAGACGTGTTTCCAAATAGAAATTGAATAATGAGAAAGCCACCCTATTTAACCTCAAAGATAATGTAAATCACTTTTCAGTAATTTCTCATATGTTGCTAATTATAACCATCTGATATTTCTTGATTTTCCCAGGCTCTCTGACTAAGAAGTACTGTCAGATTTTCACTATGAAGTTAGAGTTTTATAAAGAATACTTTGTTCAAGTGTAGGTTGGTCTTACTGATTCCCAAATACTTAGTGTGGAATGAGAAAATGATTTACTTTCAAATACACAATGTGGAAATGGAAAACGCTATGAAGAAATCCTACAATACTATGTTTACCAAGTAATCAAGGTTAATATCACCCTAGTTAGTTATGTTTCTATCATGTGTTCTCTGGCATGGTATAATGAGGAAGTTGTATATTTGTTATACTCTTTTCCCCAAAATTCATAATCCCTCGCAGTCGAACAGTATGAAAGAAATTTAGAGTAAAGAGGCATTACCAAACATCTGACCAGTGTGCTTCAACCTTGCCAAGATCGTGGGGAAATGGTCTGAGACACAATCACAGACCAGAGGAAACTAAGGAGACATGATGACTAAATATAATTCTAAACAGGAACAGAAAAATGGCATTAAAGGCAAAAGTGGGGTTGAGTTGATAGTAGTGCACTGATGTTAGCTTCTTACTTTAAGACAAATGTAGTTCTTTGAGATAAGATATCAATAATAGGAGGAACTAGGTCACGGATGAATGGGAACTCTGTGTGAATTTAAGGTAATTGGCAAATTAAATTTGATTTGAATTTAAAAAGATCCAAAACAAGTTGTTTGCCTGTGCTAAACTTAAAATGAAACTATACTAGATAATTAAGTACCTAACATTAACTTTCTTACCAGACCCATGCACTGTATGGGAAGACAGAAGATAAAGACATGGCCCCTATGCCCAGGTGCCTTATCAGCTCACCAAAGGGCTATAACATCAATGTATGAAATGATTGACAAACATTGTGATCAATAGCCTTGCCCCCCCTTCCATGATTTCACTTTATAGCTGTTTGTGGCAAACTGTGGTCCAAAATATTGATGAATCCAGAAATCATAGTTCATAAAATTTAAATTGCCGTCCAGAGTAGTGTGATGAAATCTCATGCCATCCTGTTTGTCTCAGCAAGGGTGTGAGCAATCTCTGTCCAGCATCCCCATGTTCTATGCACTACCTATGTGTGTGCTAGGTGTGTGTGTGTGTGTGTGTGTGTGTGTGTGTGAGAGAGAGAGAGAGCGAGAGAGAGAGAGAGCGAGAGAGAGAGAGAGAGAGAGAGAGAGAGAGAGAGAGAGAGAGCACAGTTACATAACTCTTGTGACATTATTGTAACTGGTCTATTTTATTATTACTCTTTATTGCTATTTCACTGTGCCTAATATATAACCTATACTTTATTATGGTTATTCATATTCCAGAAAAAGTACATAAAAGCTCAATCCTATGTATGATTTCAGTGATGAACGGGAGCCTAATACTTTGTGGATAAGGTGGGACTGCTCCAGGATTAGGTGGGACTGCTCCAGGCTGGATAATGCAGACTGCTGGAAATCAGAAGGAGACAGTAGAGACCCTACTAAGAACTTCACACAGGGAATGGACCTGGATGAATAGGCTAGAATTGCATTATTGGGCACAAGCAGTGTAGGTGGACTTTTCTTTCCCACCTGCCAGTTCCCAAATAACTGACTCGGAGACTTAATATTAATTGTAAATGCTAGGCCCATAGCTCAGGCTTATTACTAAATAGCTTTTACAACTTCCATTTACCCATTTCTATTAATCTATGCGCTGCCCCGAAACTCACGGTTTTTACCTTTCCTGGGTATGCTGCTTCCTTTCTGTTTGGCTGGCGACTCCTCTGACTCTGTTCTCCTTCTTCCCAGCATTCTCTCTGCCCAGAAAATCCTGCCTAGCTATCTGCCAATCAGCTTTTTATTAGTAATGAGAACAATACATATTTACAGTGTACAAAGATAGTTCCACAGCGAAGCAGTAGTCTCCCTTCTTAAACAACCATCAATACTAGCATAGAGAAAGGCTTGGAAATTGATTCCTGGAATTACATGGGAAGGCATTTTCTTTACCTTTATTGAATGACATTTAGAATTTATACAGGGGGATTTCTAGGCAAAAATCTCTACTTCTGATTCTGAGGCACATGGAGTCATTTCTGCTGATGAAGGTTCTTGAATTAGCCATACTTGTGCTGTTAGTGATATGCATGAGCTAGAATTATACCAGTATTATTTGATATGGGAGCTTTTAGTGCAAAATGGAGAGGAATAGAGCTGTAACAGGACCTGCAGGGTCTTACTGTGACACATTATCAACAAGACAGTGTTGAGGGGAAATGTATCTTCTGTACTGCAGATTTCATCTATGTCTAAATTCATGTCTGCTGGCTCCTAAGCACTGACTTTGTTGAAATCTCTGTCATAAGAATTGAATGGTAAATGATTTTGACCTCTTAGTGAAGATCTCATTACTTTTTATTAATATTTTGTAATTTTTATTTATTTTGGTGATTATAATTTGCATTTCTTCCTTTCTACCCTCCAAACTCCTCCTCTACTTTCCTTCAAATCCATGGCCCCTTTTTTCATTAATTGTTATTGCATTCATATATGATTTGAATATACATATGTATTCTTAAGAAAAAACCTGCTGTGTCCATAAGAAAAAGAAATCAAAAGAAAAGGAATAAGCACTGCTAACAGTGTCATTCTCCCCCTCCGCTTTGGCTCCTAGATTAAGAAGAAGCAGCAGGATGTACTTGGTTTCTTGGAAGCCAACAAAATAGGATTTGAAGAAAAAGATATTGCAGCTAATGAAGAGAATCGGAAGTGGATGAGAGAAAATGTACCTGAAGACAGTCGACCAGCCACAGGGTACCCCCTGCCTCCTCAGATTTTCAATGAATCCCAGTACCGTGGGGTAAGGAAGCAATTTAAATCTTGTTTACTGAAATATATTTCTTCAAATGAAATTACACCTTTCACCTTTACCTCCAAGCCCATGTACAGGCATTTCTTCTGCACACAGTCATTTGCCTCTGCAGCCACCCTAAGCAGTTACACAGTATTTTGCCTCCCAGGAACAAAAGTCAAATGAACAAACAAAACACATAAATGTATAAGTACAGACACTGGAGGTGCAATTGGCTTCATATTTCCTCAGTTTGATTTCAATCAGACCACGGCCTGATTGTTGGCTGTCATCTGGACTCTCTCATGTTCCTTTCTTGGCCCTTGGGATGTAGATTGTCCACTGGAAGTTCCTCCTCTGTGGGACTTCCTTTTATGAACAGTTCTATTCTCTCCTCTGAGTGTTCTTTTCTAGATCTGTTATTTTTGAGACAACTGAGACTGGCCTCAGATTCTTATGTTGCTGAGGATGAACTTGTACTACTGATCCTCTTGCCTTGGTCTCTGATTGCTGGCATTACAGGGGCTTTCTACCACACCCAGGCTTAAATAAATGTCTTCAGAGGCACCAGTACAAAGCCTCTACATTGCTGGTTTATATAAGACTGAAGAGGGTTCCTCTTCTTAACGAACCTTTTATTGCTCATTAGTGCTATCTAAGGGAAAGGTATAGGCCAATATGGGAAAGTTCGTTGGTATAATGTTTCCATCATTGAATTTGTCAGTTCTGTTGTAGATTTCATATATTATCGAACATAGCACCAATGTGTAAATTCTATCTAAAGTTAGGTGAAGGCACTTAGGCTATTCTTTTGAAATTTCTGCAAATCATTGAATCTCAGCAGATACAAAGGGCTGCAAATGTCAGCCAGTTCATGGCCAGGTTGTATTTACATCTTTAGGATAAACGTGCACACACACTCTCTCTCAATTAAAATAGAGGCCATGAATTCAAGGGGGTGCATGGAAAGGGGAAATCAATGTAATATTTCAATTTTTAAAAATAAAACAATTTAGAAATGGTCAGTTGGTCCAATGTAATCCAATATGTGATCTTCATTGTTCATTTTAGAACTATTATTTTTTAGTGGCATAGAAGTTGGTACACATTCTTATTTTACCATATGATGTTTTGATCCAAATGTGTGTTATGTCTAAAGCACAAAAAATGATGAGCACATCTTCTGTCTTCAAATATTTGTTGTGTGTGTGTGTGTGTGTGTGTGTGTGTGTGTGTGTGTGTGTGTGTGTGTTGAGAAATTTCAAAATCCCCCTAGTTCTTGGAAGTCATAAAATATATTAGTGCTATTTCCTTTTTCAAATGTTTGTGTTTGATTTTTGGAAACAAGCACAGTATGGATCACAACAGTACATTAGGAAGCCATAGCTATTTGGTTTAACCTCTTCCTTAGAAGCTACACTTCAGGGTAATGGATTACAGAACAAAAGGCAAGTATCACTAAGAATTACAAAGACAGAAGTGAAAGCCCAGGATGTGAGACTTGGTAAACCAGATACATATCTGTTAGTGGAAGAGGAGTCCATTTTCTGTTTAGTTCCGTTTTGTGCCCAACAGTTTAATGACAACGAGAATTAAGAAGTTGATTTTATAAACTCAGAGAGAAGAACTTGCAGTAGTCATTCACAGAAAACTTATCTGCTAGTGATTATGCTATGCACTTTGTGCATTGTACTAATTCTCAAAGCAATCCAGAGTACCAAGCAGTTTTGCTAGTAATCTCTGGATCCTCACTGGCTCTTGCTTGTTTGCCTTTTGTACTCGGAGATATTGAGTGATCAGCTTTCCACCTTAGAAGGAAAATTTTCTGGTGTGTAGAGATTCCCCTGTGCATTGTAGGATCTTTCATAGGGACCTTGGCATCTACCCAGGTAATGGCAGTAGCACTCACTTTCTGGACAATGAAAAATTATTCTAGGCATTGCCAGATATCTCTTGTGTGGGAATTACCTCCTACTGAATGCCACTGGACTAGCTCTTATTATCTGACAAGATGGTGGCAGAGTCTATTATCTTACCCATACATGTGAAACTCTGCTATAGAAGACACAAAATTTATAAGGAGAATCCTTGTTCTAAAAGTCTTGCTGTACATAAGAATGAAATGAGAATTAACATGACAATAAAATATGGTGTCATACATTCTTGGTTTAATGTCATTGACATTCCAGTGTTATACATAAAGTTTCTTTACATTTTTCCCTAAGAGAATTGCTCGAGAAATTGAAATATCTTGCTTACTGTTGAGTAGTTAGCACCAAGAACACTGCTTATGCCAGGCAAGGGGGCATATGCCTGCAATTCCAGCTCATTTGGGGAGATAAATTCTAGAAGATAAGGACTTTGAACCCACCCTGGATTACGTAGTTAGGCCATTTCTGAAAATAAAATAAACAAAAAGAACAGTGTTATTTTATATAATTGTATACGTAATAAATATTTGTGAAACAATTATATAGATCTGGTTTAATTGAAGAAAATGTTCTTTTTCTTCTTAGATTCACAAATATATTTGTTTTTTTTTTCTGTATCTGGAACCAACAAATGGTAATCTAAGTTGACCCTGAAATACTTGAGATAGACAACTAGATCCTCTACATAGCAGTATATTACCAGATTTTTATACCGATGGAAGGATTGCGTTATTTCACATGAATCTAAAGACTTACCTAAGTTGTTTTTTATCCATTTTTGATAATAAAAATAATTTGCTATATGGCTCCTACATTTTTCCCTTTTGAGGCAGGATCTCCAAGATCTCACTTTGTAGTGCAGGGTGACCTAGAAGATGCTATATGCCCTCGGTAGGTCTAGAATTAGACTTCTGCCTGCCAACTGCTAGGATTACAGGCATGTGCCACAATGCCTGGTACATTGGATTCTTTTGAATTATGTTTTGTTTACATACAACTGGTGAAGTGTGGATACTGTGTGTTTTTTTAAACCTTGAGTAACTTACCAGTCTCAGCATAGAATTGTTGTCAGTACCCTGCTAGTTTCACTTTGGAGTAAAGAACTCATAAGTATATCCAGGAAGTAAGAAAAATACTTTGGTACTAGTCTCTGCTTTTATAAGCTTGATTTGCTCAAATTTCACTTGTGAGTGAGAACATACATAGTGATATTTATCAACAGATAAATGGCTAAAAATGGGATGAAATGGAATTTTATCCAGGTATAATGAATAACAAAGTCTTGATATTTGCAAGAAACTAACTGAAACTAGTAATTACCATTATTATTTCTATTGAAAAGAATTTTTTCAGCTAGCTGAAGTGGCACACACCTTTAATTCCAACCCTCAGGAGGCAGATGCAGGTGGATCTCTGTGAGTTCGAGGCCAGCCTGGTCTACAGAGCAAGTTCTAGGACAGCCAGTTCTGGAGCACCTACACAGAGAAACCTTGTCTCAAATAATAATAATATTAATAATAATGATAAATATTTCATACAATATATTGTGATCATAGTTTCCCCTCCCCCAACTCCTTCCAGATCATATTCCCCTTCCCTCTCATGTGACTTCACCTTCTTTTTCTGACTCCTTAGAAAACAAACAGGCAAATAAAAGACTAAGAGCACTAGAAATGCACACACACACACGCACGCACGCACGCACGCACGCACGCACGCACGCACGCACGCACGCACGCACGCGCGCCTCCCCCACAGGCATACAACACACTCTCTCTCTCTCATACACACCATGAAAATACAAAATATATAGAAGCAAAACACCACTAAGATAAGAAATTTCCAAAGTATTACAACACAAAAAACTCTCCAAATATCATCAAGTTCGTTTTGTATTGGCTATCTACTGCTGGGCATGAAGCCTGCCCAGAAATGTAGCTTATATACCCGTGAGACTATATAATTAATTTTTACTTTGCAAGTTGTGGTCCGTTGGAGATAGCTTTTGGCTTAGGGATGGAGGCTGTGTCCACTTCCCCTCTCAGCAGTAGGATCCAATCTGGTTTAGACCTGTGTAGGCCCTGTGTATTATTGTCACAGTCTCTCTGAGTTCATATGAGCTTTGATCAGGTTCTGTTAGAGGGCCTTGCTTTCTAGGTGTCCTCCACCCCCTCTGGCTCTTACAGTCTGCCTCTTCTTCATTTTAGATCCTCAAGGTCTGAGAGGAGGGAATTGATGGAGACATCCCATTTAGCGCTGAGTGTTCCAAAGTCTCTCACTCTGCACATTGTATAGTTGTGTGTCTCTGTGTTAGGACTGGACATTTTGACTTTAAGCAAGATTCCAGAAAGGAAAGTTGAATACTCATGTTCTTTCTCATATGTGGATGCTGGATTTTAGTGTGTGTGTGTGTGTGTGTGTGTGTGTGTGTGTGTGTGTGTGTGTGTGTATGCAGGTCATAAACCAGACAAAAGACCGTGAGAGGGGGAAAAGAAGCTTTAAAGGGCAAGTGTGTAGGGAATAGAAACAAAGCAGAAAAGAAGGTAACAGTATGCATTTGACATAAAAGCAGAAGAGAAATAGTGGGAGGAGGAAGGGGGCAAGCAGGTTGGGGAAGGGAGTAGGGGAAGCAAAGCAACAAAAATTACATGTGAAAATCCCACAGTGTGAGTCTGGGGAAATGACTTAGTTAAGATTTTACTGCACAAGCATGAGAACCTGAGTTCATACCCACCCCCACCCCCCAGTTTCCATGTTAAATGCTGGGCAAGATACAGCATGCCTTTAATGTTCCAGGTTCAGTGGTAGAGCACATCTGACAATGGCCTTTTACTGCTACACACATGCACACCTGTGCGCACACACACAAACCAAAAAAAAAACCCACCCCCCCACACACCCCCACACACACACACACACACACACACACACACACACACACACACACAAATTCCATAATGAAATCTTTTACTCTGTATACTCCTTAAATGCTAACATTATATGTAAATTCATTGACTTAAAAGCCAAAACCTGGTATTTGTATTTCTAAGTTTGCTTAATGTATTCTCTAGGTTCATCCATGGCACAGATAACAGGGGTTTATTTTAAAGGCTGAATGGTGTTTTACTGTGTACATGTGCTGAATTTTCTTTTTTCCTTTATCTATTGCAGGACACAGGCTGTTTCCATTTCTTGCCTATTGTGACTAGTAATGTAGTAAATATCTGATTGTAGCAATCTCTTTGACATTCTTTGCTTTTTCATTCTTCTTTGCTTTTTTTCACTGTTTTAAACAGAGGGATCTCTATAGGCCAGGCTGGCTTCAAATTCAGGCAATTCTCTTGCCTCTACCCCGAGTGCTAGGACTACATGTGTAAGACCTATATCCATAATAATCTTACTTTCTTTGGACATATGCCTCAATGGAAGAATGCTGCATCATGGGACAGTTTTATTTTTATTTTTAAGATCGGGCCTCTCTATTCAATCTGGCTGTCCCAGAGCTTGCTATGTAGACCAGGCTGGCCTAAGACAGTTCTATTTTTAATGTTTTGAGTAATATAATATATATTTTTCCATAATGGTTGTACTAATTTACATTCAAGTGCAATCATGTGGATGGTTTTACTTACTCTACATCTTTCTGAACACTTGTTATATTTTTGTTCTTTTGAAAAACTTAATTATTGCATGGTTAAAGGTGTATCTCACTGTGATTTTAATTTAGAATTCCTTAATAATTCATTCTGATGGATATTGTTTTCAAAAGCCTAATGGCCTTTTGTAGGTATTTATTTGAAGCATGTCTTAGTCAGGTATTTCAGTTCAGTTTTAAATGAGTTAACTTGAATTTACATTTATTTGTATTTTTAGCTTTGGCATCTTCCACAATTAAATTCTCACAGTCAGCTTGGTGGAACTCTCTCTCTCTCTCTCTCTCTCTCTCTCTCTCTCTCTCTCTCTTCTCTGGTACTTAATTTTGTTTCATTTATATATTTTAATTTTTGTCATTTTTCCTTAAAACATACTTTTATTACTTGTCTTTTTGTAAGTTTAATATTTGAAATTTTAGACTATACTAGTGACTTTTTTGGCGTGTGGTTTCCTATGACTTTTAACACACTCATTGGTTTCTGTAACTAATGCTACAATGAAAATACAGAACCAAACCCTCACAATATTCCTTTATAGAAATATGCTATGCTTATCCCAATGCCTGGCAAACACTAATATAGCATCATCACTATAATTTTGTCTTTTTGATAAGGCCATATAAATGGATTCATGCAGTTTGTAGTCTTTAGATACTGGCTTCTTTCAGTGAATTGGATGTATTTGAGATCCAGGTCGTTGCCTGCACTAACACCATGTTCCCTCATATAGCTGAGTGGTGGTATATCATTATACAGATACTTTGTTTAACCACTGTACATTGGTAGACAGTTCCTTTGTTTCCAGATCTGAGCCATAGTGATTATAAGAACTTTGAACATATATTTTCTGATTTTTGTATGAGCACTAATTTTCTATTTCCTGGGGCGAATGCTAGGAATGTGTTTACTGCATAACACAATGATTATATTTTTAATTTATAAAGGACTTGGAATGTTCTGGATTGACTATGCCATTTTGCATTCTTGTTTAAGGGTTCCTAATACTCAGCTTTTCCTTCAGCTCTTGGTATTGCCAGAAGTTTTGTGTCTGTCCTTTTTCTATGTTGCTGCATGTTTCAGCCAGTATTGTATACATGGTAGACAAATGCTGGAGCCCTGAACTACTTCTTAACCCTATTGTCAGCCCTTCAAACCAATTCAAAATAGCTTGGTGTCTTGGTATCTTCTGGTCATTTTAATTTGTATAAATTACATAAATTTGATATCAAATGATATTATGATAGCAACACATATTTTGTGCTTATTTGTCATCCTTCTATCCTCTTAAGTGTTTGTTTAGTCATTTCCTCATATTTAATTTTGTTTTATTACTATTATATCTTATTATTTTTATGTATTTTAGAAGTGAAATTTTGCCACATATAGGATTTGCAATATTTCCTTCCATGTTGTGGTATACTATTTTAACTATGTAAATATATGTTACATTTGTTTCACATTGACTAAGACTGATCTAATAAAAAGCTGAATGTCCAGTAGCTAGGTAGTAGAGGGATAGGTAGGGCTGATGGGAAGAGAACTTAAGTAGTACGAGAAATCTAGACTCAATAAGAAGAGAGAATGAGGGAGAAGGAGAGGGAGACCCTCTCCGGGATAGCCAGACAGACATGGAAGAAGCAGGAAAGTAGGACATACAGAATGAAAAAAGGTAAATAGCACCAAAGCAAAGCATAGATGAAGAGAAACAGGTTAAAATAAGTTAAAGGAGCTATGAAGAGAAACAGGTTAAAATAAATTAAAGGAGCTAGTGGGAAAAGCATAAGACAAGGCCAAGCATTCATAATTAACAGTAACTCTCCATGTCATGATTCAGGGTCTGGTGGTTCTAGAAAGCCTGCTATATGTTGTAATTCATCTTTTTATTCTCTTAGCAATATCTTTCACAAAGAAGACTTTCTTTTGAGACTATGAAGAATGTGAGAGAAAGAAAGGACTATATGCTTTAAAACAGAATCTCATGTAGCACTGGCTGGCCTCCCAAAACCATATTACTATGTAGCTAATGACCCTGACCTTCTGACCCTCCTGCCTCTACACTGCAAATGCAGATTACAGTTTGTGACACCATGCCTGACTCTGTATGTTCTGATATTTCTTGAGGTAATCTCCAAACTGTTCAGGTCATCAGTGCCTTTTCTGTCCACATCCAAGTGTGGAAAAGTAATGTGTTTGAACTCAACCTTGTAAAGACAACCCATTGGGGAGACATTTGTAAGCCCCCTGGAGGCACACATGTGGCCAGGCCCCACACCTGAGGACCTCCAACTGCCAGGTTCCACACACAGTACATTCTAACTGCCCTAACAGCTGGAGCCAGACTCTCCAGATTCAGGCAGCCCAAGCTCAGGAGTTGAAATCCCACCAATTCCCACCCTGGAAATCTCTATCCTGGTATGTTCTGCCCCTCAAAGAAATTCTACTTCAACCGTGCCTTCTGCTCAGTCCTCTGCTGCTTCTCACCTGAGCAGAGGCAGCCATACTTCTGGGTTTTTCCCTCCCAATAAATCTCTTGTGTGAAGTTTGCTGTGCAGTGTTACTTTGTGGTATTCCTTGGCTTCCTACTGCCAGGATACCTTTTCCCTCAGAGCTTTAAAACCTACAACGTTCGCTAGAGATTTCAGCAAGTTCAGCTTTAACAAATCAGCCAAAATGTCAGAATCCCTGTGATGTTTTGAAATCACACTAATCGAGGCAACATATAGAATATAGACATTTAACTATGTTTGCTGTTGATCACAAGTTACAATTGTGGACAAGTCTACTTGCTACTTTTTGTGAAGGCTTAGTGGCTTAGGGGACAGCAACTTAAAGCTGAACCAAATTGAGACAAATGTATCCTCATGGTTGAAGCTTCTTTTGCTCATATTTGAGAACACTTCACTTTCTTTGAAAAGACAATATAGTCTCACTGGTCTTCTGGCCTTCTGCATATGGAGCTAATATTGGTTTTATTTCAGGCTGAGTAAATCACTATTAAAGTCAGTTAAGAGAAGAGAAATATGGTGGATTGGAAGGGGTATCACACCAGAAATAAGCCATCTACCACTGAGAAATGCTTGCTCTGGGTGGAGGAGAAAGGGGCAAGCAGATGTAAATCCTATGTAATGTGAAAAAAACCATTCTGTATCTTCTGCCTAAAAGACCAGTATACCTTCTAGTACACATTAAATGGTATCCAAAATCCCTCTCTTCCTTCCTCCACCCCTCCTCTTTGTGTTTTGTTTGTTGTTGTTTTTAATTGAAAATAGATTTTCCTCAAACAATATGAGTATGATTTCCCTTTTCCAGACTCCTCGCATGTCCTTACCATATCCCCACTCACCCAAATCCACACTGTTTCTTGTTGTCTATTGTTAGGAAACAAAGTTATCTACAATAATAGCAGAGTAAAATACAACATGATTAAATAAAAAGTAAACAAACGATCCAGAATAGGGTAAAATAAATAAACAAATGGAAAAAAAAGAGTCAAAGAAAAAGCACAAGAAACACATGTAGACGCAGAGACACACACAGAACTCTCATTAAAAAGGCAAAACTGGCATCTATCACAAAATGAACTTATTGGTATTTTTTGGAATTTTTTCTTTTTGTTTCATAATACTTTGTCTGGGCTTTTCTTTTTTCTTTCTTTCTCCCCCTCTCCAGCTTTTCAGGTCTTTTCCTCCTTTTTTTTTTTTTTGAGACAGTGTTTCCCTACTCACCTCAGTCTGCCCTGGAACTGGTGATCCTTCAGTCTCAGCTTCTGAAGTTGATATTACACACACACAGTCTCAGAAGAGACTCAGAAGTCCGCCTGTCTCCTTATTACTCCTTCCAGAGTTTCAGCATTATGGAGCTTAGCCCCCAAGAAGACAGCGGATCCTGTCATGCCATCAAGCCATTGTGAATGAATCTCTTTCCTTTGTTGGGTTGCAGACTGCTAACTCTTCTTGTCTTCTTTTCTGAAAGGACTATGATGCCTTCTTTGAAGCCCGAGAAAACAATGCAGTTTATGCCTTTTTAGGCTTGACAGCACCACCTGGTTCAAAGGTATGGTTCCTCTATTTACTTCATTGTTGATTATCTTGTTGCTGCTGAGTTTTTTAATCAGTAAGAGTTCTCCCTGTTAAATATTCAGATTAAGTATTCATTCTCCATATACTTAATCCCTAATAGGGTAGACAAATGTGCATAGAAAACACAGTGTGTATGCAGCAAGTAGAGTATTAAGTGGGACTTCTCTACCAAGCTGCCTAAGACAGTAGATATATGGTTATTCATTCTGAAATAAGTGATTGTCAGCATTAAAGCTCCAATATTCCAACTCTCATGCACATTACACATGGACATCAAGCATCTTAGTTTATGACCATCTCCTCAGCAGCATTTCCTAGCTGTGTGTGAGAGAATATTCCAGAACTAGCTATTCGAGTGCAATATGAACATTTGGGTTACAAAACTGGTCACTAAATTGCCAGCTAAATTTGGTATTTTGTTCCTTGCCAAGACAAATTAATTTTTCAAGTGACAGTGTTCCCAGGGGAGCCCAAATAAAGAAGGAAAGCAAAAGCGAAATTGCCTGTTGAGTGAAATGCCCCAAAGCTATGGACTTTAAGTAGACCTTTGTCTTTTCCATTCCAGCTCATTTAATCAAAATATGTTACCCCTGTGGCACTAATCTGTGTTCCACTCCCAACAATAGATTTTATGTTCAGCAATTTATTTAAACTCCAGTTCCTTCTTTAATCTTAAGAACCTGTAACACCATCTACGTTTTCACCAGAAAGGCTTCATAAATATGTGTGTCTCACTATGAAGTTCTACTTCCTTGCCAAACATTCTTTTCCCATGGATAAATGTTATATTTTAGGCTTTGTAAAAACTGAGTCAAGTCAGAAGAAAAGTGGTTTTTTTATTTAAGTCTTTAACCAAATAATTTAATTATTTAAACAAATAATTGGTGAGGCCCAAGTTCAGCCACTGAGTTTAATGCAGATCAGAGGGAGTGCAAAAGAAAGGGCAGTCTACTTCCTGTGGCTGATGACTTTCCCCTTTAATTAAAATTAGAATCCATCCATTCACCCAGTATTTATCACTTGTCAAACAATAACGTTAATGGTGGAAAAAAACAAAGGATGATCCTTACATTCTTCTTATAACCTAGTGAGCCTATATGTGCAAAAGATTATATAATAAATGTGTGAATAATTATAATTGAAGGCATACTACGGCAAATTCTATACTACTTTCCTAAATAAAGTGCTGTAGGAATTCATGAAAATAGTCAAGATTTCTTATTGAGGGGATTGGAGACGTTTTCAGTAGAAAGCTGTTGGAAATTTCACAATACTGAAATGACACTAAGTTATTTTTCATAGGGACAATGATGAAAAGCATGGCATAGGGGCACGTAGCTGCGCACGATGATCTTACATCGTGGGAACAGAGTGTAGTGTAGTGTGGCTGAAGAAGAAGGGATAGTAAACAAAGAGCACTGTGTTAGGAGGTTTAAGATTGGTTAGGTAGGTTGAGACCAGTAATGACTGCTGTATATGGTAGCTTTACCTTTATCTGTTAGGCACCCAAAAGTCACTATGGAAAACCTGGGAAAGTCATGGTGTGACTTTTGTTTTGCTCTTTGTTCGTTTGTCACTGTCACACTTTGTCCCTAGCTGGTCTGGAGCTTGCTATGTAGATCAGGCTGGTCTCAAACTCATATTATCTGCCATCCTCTGTCTCATGAGGGATTAAAGGTATGGCCACCACAACTGGATACTGGTATGATTATTTCAGATTTTTAAGATATGGTTCAATTTAATTTAATCTACATATTTTCCATTCTCACTCGGAGACAGGATCTTATTCCAGTTGCTTTGATCCTAGCACCTGACTTCTGAAGTAATGGGATTACATGTCCACTTTGCTACAAAAAATTTGTCTTAAGAGACTAAGTTTACAGCTGGTTGCGAGCCACCATGTGGTTGCTGGGAATTGACCTCAGGACCTCTGGAAGAGAAGTCAGTGCTCTTAACTTTTGAGCCATCTCTCCAGCACTTAAGATGAACCCCCACTCTAACATCTCTGAAAGCAGCATAAGACAGAATCAGGTTGCCTGAATGTGCGTGTCAGCTGGGAGGCCTGGGCAGTCTATGGGGTATGGGGCCTCTGGTAGTGGAACAGCATTTATCCCTAGTGTACAAATAGACTTTGGGAACCCATTCCCCATGGAGGGATACACTCTAAGCCTAGACACACAGGGGCCCTCCTAGGCCCTGCCCCAAATGATGTGACAGACTTTGATGATCCTCCATGAAGGCCTCGCCCTTTCTACGCAGCAGAAGAGGGGATGGCATAGGAGTCAGCGGGGAGCATGGGAGGAAGGAAGGGAGAGGGAACTAGAATTGATATATAAAATGAGATTGTTTCTAAATTTTTCCTCCATTTTTTATTTAAATTAGAAATAGTATTGTTTTACATGTCAGTCCCAGTTCCCTCTCCCTCCCCTACCCTTGTGCCCCCCCCCAACTAACACCCTACCTATCCCATACCCATTCTGCTCCCCAGGGAGGGTGAGGCCTTCCATAGGGGGGTGTCTTCAGAGTCATTAATATCCTTTGAGATAGGGCCTAGGCCCACCCCCTTGTGTCTAGGCTCAGGGAGTATCCATGTATGTGGAATGGGCTCCCAAAGTCTATTCCTATGCTGGGAATAAGAACTGATCTACTACAAGATGTCCCATAGATTTCTGAGGACTCCTCAGTGACAACCACGTTCATGGGGTCTGGATCAGTCCCATTCTGGTTTCCCAGCTCTCAGTCTGGGGAGCAAGAGCTACCCCTTGTTCAGGTCAGCTGTTTCTGTGGGTTTCACCAGCCTGGTCTTGACTCCTTTGCTCATCACTCCTCCTCTGCAACTAGATTCCCGTTCAGTTCAGTGTTTAGCTGTGGGTGTCTGCTTCTACTACCACCAGCTGCTGGATGAAGGTTATAGGATGGCATATAAGTTAGTCATCAATCTCATTATCAGGGTAGGGCATTTAAGGTGGCCTCTCCTATACTGCTTAGATTGTTAGTTGGTGTCATCCTTGTAGATCTCCAGACATTTCCCTAGTGCCTGATTTCTATTTAAACCTATAATGGCTCCCTCTATTATGGTGTCTCTTATCTTGCTCTCCTCTATTCTTCCCCCCACTAAACCTTCCTGCTCCCTCATGTCCTCCCCACCCCTCCTCTTCTCCCCTTCTCATTCTCCTAGTTCTCTCTCTCCTTGTGCCATGATCCCAATTTGCTCAGGAGATCTTGTTCCTTTTCCCCTTCTCTGGGGAAGTATGTGTGTCTCTCTTAGTGTCCTCCTTGTTTCCTGGCTTCTCTGTTGGTGTAGGTTGTAGGTTGGCAATCCCCTGCTCCATGTCCAAAATCCATATATGAGTGAGTACATACCATTTTTTCTTTTTGCAACTGGCTTACCTCACTCTGGATGGTTTTTTCTAGTTCCATCCATTTGCCTGCAAATTTCAAGATTCCGTTGTATTTTTTCCACTGGGTAGTACTCCATTGTGTAAATATACCACATTTTCTCCATCCATTCCTCCGTTGAGGGGCATCTAGGTTGCTTCCAGTTTCTGACTATTACAAATAATGCAGATATGAACATAGTTGAATAGAGGTCCTTGTGGTATGAATGTCCTTTTTTGGGGTATATGCCTAAGAGAGGAATTGCTGTATCTTGTGGTAGACTGATTCCCATTTTCCTGAGGAACAGCCATATTGATTTCCAAAGTGACTGTACAAGTTGGCACTCCCACCAGCAGTGGAGGAGTGTTCCTCTTTATCTGCATCCTCTCCAGCATAAACTGTCATTGGTATTTTTGATTTTAGCCATTCTGAAAGGAGTAAGATGGTATCTCATAGTTGTTTTGATTTGCATTTCCCTGATGGCTAAGGATGTTGAGCACTTTTTATTTGTCTTTCAGCCATTGTAGATTCCTCTATTGAGAATTCAGTACCCCACTTTTTTGTTGAATTGTTTGGTGTTTAGGAGACTAGCTTCTTGAGTTCTTAGTATATTTTGGAGATCAGCCCTCTGTCAGATATGGGGTTGGTGAATATCTTTTCCCAGTCTGTGAGATTCCATTTGGTCTTGCTGACTGTGTCTTTTGCTTTATAGAAACTTCTGAGTTTCAGGAGGTCTCATTTATTAATTATTTATTAATCTCAGTGTCTGTTCTACTGGTGTAATGTTCAGGAAGTGGTTTCCTGTACCAATTCATTCAAGGGCACCTCCCACTTTTTCTTCTAAGAGGTTCAGTGTGGATGGATTTATGTTTATGTCTTTGATCAATGTGGACTTAAGTTTTGTACATGGCGATAGACGTGGATCTATCTTGAGTCTTCTACATGCCAGAATCCAGTTATGCCAGCACCATTTGTTGAAGATGCTTTCTTTATTCTGTTGTATAACTTTAGCTTCTTTGTCAAAAAATGATGTGTTAATAGCAGGGTTTTAAACTCTATTCCATTGGTCTACTTGTCTATTTTATGACAATACCAAGCTGTTTTCAGGACTGTAGCTCTATAATAGAGCTTGAAGTCAGGGATGGTGATGCCTCCAGAAGTTCCTTTATTGTACAGGGTTATTTTGGCTATCCTGGGTCTTTTGTTTATCTATATAAAGTTGAGAATTGTTCTTTCAAGGTTTGTGAAGAATTGTGTTGGGATTTTGATGGGGATTGCATTGAATCTGTAGATTGCCTTTGGCAAGATTTCCATTTTTACTATGTTGATCCTACCTATCAAAGAACATGGGAGATCCTTCCATTTTCTGGTATCTTCTTTAATTTCTTTAAAGACTCAAAATTCTTATGATACAGGTCTTTCACTTTTTTAGTTAGCGTTACTCCAAGGTATTTTATGTTGTTTGTGGCAATTGTAAATGGTCATGTTTCTCTGATTACTTTCTCAGAGCATTTATCATCTGTGTATAGTAGAGCTACTGATTTTTTGAGTTAATCTTGTATCCTGCCACTTTGCTGAAGGTGTTTATCAGATGTT